TCAAATTTTCGTCTCCCTCTCTCTATCTCTCTCTTTTTCTTTCAGGGCTGAGTAAACCTCCTCGTTTCCCTCTTTCCGCTTCCAGATGCGTCGCACGGTGTAACGTTGGTTGCTCCATTTTCGAAATGCACGGAGACTTGAATTCCGCGTGCGTCTGTCTAGTTCGCGAGACCAGACGCACGTCGTATTCACGTTTGCCGAGCCGGTTGAAGGCTGAATTAGCGAGCACGCTAATTTTTGTCGCAACGAACGCCGAGTGTGCGCCGGCGTTAAAGCGTCGATGTCTCGAACTACGCGTCTTACTCTTTATCTGTTTATTTATTTTTTTCTTCTTTTAATGCATTATCCTCTCGCCAACTACTGCGACTCTTACAGCAATTAACCGCAGTTTTTTTCTCTTCCTACGTAACTCATGTTCTACCTGCCTTACGACTTGGATGCAACTCGACATTATTACTTTTGTTTAAAATCTTCTCTCTTTTTTTATTTTTTCTTTTTTAAACATTTCTTTTGCGTGCTATATAGAGTTCAAAACACCGTCTTCAAGCTTTACCCTGCCTCTGCGCGTAATCCCGTTCCCTTCTTCCGCTTCCCCTAACCCCTATCTTGGCAACAACTTCAACAACGGTTCTCAGGTTACTTCAATAACCTTTAGTAATTATTAAAAGATAACGTGATTGGTTGTCGCGATTATCCAGTGCCGATGGCCGAAAAAATGTACAATACGACGTTGTTAGTATGTCTCCCCGACGTTACGTCGACGGCTCTCAGTCATCCGTCTACGAGTTAGCCTGTGTGTGAGCAAGAGCAACTTCCTTCCTCTCTCATCGGCCGGCCATTAGCCGTTCTACGTGTCGCTTCCCTTTGCCAATTTCGACTCCGTCGCTTCCGCGATTTTCACCCGTGACCCACGACCGGCTCGTGAATTCGCGGAGGACATGGGCGTGCATGCGTTGACGCATCCTCTTCGGCATGCGCTCAGACGGAGAGAGTCTCATTTCTCTCCCTCTTGTTTCTTACGCGAGTGAGAACAAATGGCTATCGTGACAAAGCGGCTCTCACGTTGATCGCGGTATTCAATTCAATGTCGCAGCGTTGAATTCCTCTACGAGAGACGAGTCAGGCTGCCGCGTGTGGTTGGTGCGGAAAAGTACTACTGTTATCGAAAAATATCCGAATTTTATTTTTTAAAAATCGTGGGTACACTGTAAATCAAATCCGTTTGCTTTCTTAAATTGTCACACATGTCCTTCATATTTGGTGAAAAAATCATGGCGTTCCTTCAAACCGTTTGAAAGTGGCAGTTGTTTATGTCAGCGAAGATCGTTGTGCACGGCGATTTTTACGATGTTGAAAAATATGGAGCAAAGAATTTGTTTGAAATTTTGTGTTGTGAACGAAATTTCGTTCACAAATGCATTCAAAACGTTGCAAAAAACTTATGGCGATGATTGTTTATCGAAAACAAGTACGTTTGAGTGGTTCAAGAAGTTTCAAGAAGGACGAGAATCCGTTGAAGACGACCCACGCTCTGGAAGACCATCAACGTCAACGGATGACGCTCACATTGAGAAAACGAAAGAATTGGTGCTCCAAAATCGTCGATTGACTGTGCGAGAGATAGTAGATGAAGTTGGAATATCATTTGGATCGTGCCAGCACACAATCCGTAAGAAACGACCGGAATTGTGGGAAAACAACTCGTGGATTTTGCATCACGACAACGCACCATTGCATACCTCGACACTTGTGCGTGAATTTCTGACAAAAGACTCAACGAATGTCGCTTTGCAAGCACCGTATTCACCAGACATGGCCCCCTGCGACTTTTTCCTGTGCCCCCTATTGAGAAAACCACTTCACGGACAGCGTTTCGAATCGATTGAGGACATCAAAGAAAAATCGTTGCATGAATTGAAGGCCATACCGTCTGCCGCGTATGAGCGATGTTTCCAGGACTGGATCAAACGCTGACATATGTACGTTGCAAGCAATGGGATTTACTTTGAAGGAGACTATAAGAATTTTGATGATTGAATTGTAATTTTGATTTTTAAAAATAAAGTTTGGATACTTTTTGATCACAGTAGTAAGTTCCATTTCTCCAATGTAGACGTTGCTGTTCGGTCATTCGGCATGGCCGCGTCGGTGGAAACGCGCGTTTCCGCAGATGCAACGGCAGAACGTGAGACGTCAGAGTAGCGTTTTCTTAATGGAGCGAGAACAAAAGTCCGCGATTAGTCTTCCCGCCACGATGTGATACGTCAACGTCTGAAAAGAAGGTTCACGGTTTCTATATAATGGAATTTCATTTCAGCGGGGGGAAAAGATTGAACTATCAGACACGGACACGGAAAGATGCGCAAGTGTCCCGTGTACAGAAGGTATGTGTGTGTGCGAGTCCACTTTTAATACTCGCGACGTAAGTGAGGGAGCGACGCGTTTCCTCAGCGCGTAATCAGCGACAATTGCTTTGTCCGCTTTGGAGAGATCGTCGGACGATCTCGCGTTCGACGCAGAAATTTTGATCATCCGGTTCTTACGGTTGCAGAGTGACTGTTTTTAAACTAGGAATTAATTATCATCTGTTTGCTGGAACGTAGAACCGAATTTCTACGGCGATCAAATTATTGTCGCACGGTGGCTCTTCGATACACATGTTTCACGCGTTTGACGTATTTATTATATATAGAGAACTGACGTTTACGCGCGGAATTTCAAATTGCGGGAGAAGCATAATTGAAAGGGTGTCTGTCGTTAATAAATAAATAAATAGCGAGTGAACGAATAAATAATGAAATAAATAGATTATCGTGGGCCATCGCGCTTGACGCTGAATGCGGGATGAGAATACGGATCGATGACGAAACAATTCGCTCGCATTTTGTGGGCAGCAGGGAAAGAAGGTGAAAGAAGGCTGAATATTCTGTCCGCGTTGTCACAAGCGAAAGTAGTTATCGAACAACCGTTAGCCGTCCCTCGCAATTTTCTCTCGCGTTTCCTCCGTCCCTTTGTCTTCCGCGTTCTTTCGCACGGCGTGTCCCTCGAGATCCTTCGAGGCTACTCCCCTCCCCCCCTTCCCTCGCACAACCTATCCGAGAGAGTATTTATGTTACGCCACCGTCACTTAAATCGTAGTACAAATCCCCCGTTTATTAAGTCGTCGTCGATTTTTACATACTAGTGATACTGATAAGAAAATTCTCTTGGCATAATCATCTTGGCAGTTCATCGTGTGTATTTTGAGAGTGTAACGTGTGCGTTTTACCCTTAAAGCCCGATTCCCCCTTTTCTCCTCGTTTCTCCTCGCTGCCTTCGTCTCTTTTTCTCCAGTCTTCCTTCGTAGTCTCATTATGTATCTCGTCTCTTTCCGGTCATCGTATTGTTTCGCACGCGCCGAAGGGGAACCGCCGGGATCGAAATTTTGATTCCACGCTAATCCTGCGAATAATCTCGCGCTTTAAAGATTAACGAAAAATCTCAAGATGTAACATTGCACGGCTTATTATGTCTGTCTTGATGCTGCAAACGATCATTGTAATTATTACAGTTGTTACTTAATCACAGTTATTAATTAATCAAACTTTGCGAACCATGTCTACAATTCCTTTTCCGTTTTACTTCCTTTGAGCCTCTACCGAATTTTTGAATCCTGCCGAGATTATTAACGCCGATAAAAAATGATAGGTTACGAAGAAAGGAATATTGTTGCTTTATATTTGTCCATTTGCTTGATAATTTGTATTAATTATTTAACATTAGTTTATCGTAATACTCTATCTGCAGCTGAATAAGTTACGTAATTAATGCGTCGCTTGTTGAAAAATTAGAAATCAATAATGAAAATAAGTGCAGGTAGATTATTAAGATAATCGAATATTAAATATAGTTCTTAGATAATGATTTCTTTTCAGGCATCAACAAAATGACGACGCAATCATCATCATTCGTAGCACCAATAGTCTTGTATTATAATGTTACACCTCCAGTTTCTCTCTTAGCCTTTCAAGTTTGACGAATTTCGCAGGGTTAACGCAGAGCCGAAATTTCAACGCGGGCGGTTCCCGCGGTCGACACTCTCGAGAGCTTCCTTCCGCGTCTTGTCGTAGATGAGGACTGACGTTAAATCCGCGTGCAGTAATCCCCGAATGTCTTCCCGTCGAGGATCTCGCTCGAACAATCGGAAACTTCGATTGTACGCTCACCTTTGAGCACCACTGTTCGCATACTCGGTCACATTATTATTTCACATTTTTGCGGGACTCGTGTTCTCCGAGTTCCGCGTCTGCAGGTTTTGCGGTTCTTCGCGGATTCACGCGAGACTTTACGCGAACTCGCGGAAACACTAGGAAACATTTACGCGAATCGCCCACAGTCGACACACAGGGGCCTTTGAATTTTTAATAGGACCGCTCCTCGCGTGTATTCGGGGATCTCTGCATCAACATTAGCCCTCGACCGCAGCGGGTATCTTTAATTCATCGGCAAGTCGCACTTCCACGCGCATCGTCGCTCGCGTAACGTGCATGTGTGTATCCGTGTACGTATATTTGTGCACGGATATTCGTATATGCGTATTTATGTGTGTGCGCTTGTGCTCGTGCGCGTGTGTATGTGTGTGTGTGTGTGTGTATAAATGTGATACATCCCCAAGTGTAGCCGCGGAGGACAGAGTCGAATGCGTCTTTCGATTCGACCGACTCACGCTCCAGTGAGAACTGGTAATCGCACCTCTCGTAGAACTGAATCATTTAACTCGTCTGAGGAGATGTACCGTTTCGGCTATGAAAGCTGTGCCACAGTCATGTCGACTGCTCTCAGGGATGCGTGTGCAAACCGGTGTGCGTGTCACGCGTGTGCTCCACGCGTACATCTGTGTTTTGCGTGTTCTCCTTGTTTCTCCTCTCTCTCTCTCTCTTTCTCTCTCTTTCTCTCTCTTTCTCTCCCCCCTTCTCACTCTCTCTCTCTCTCTCTCTCTCTCTCTCTCTTTGCGCATCTCTCTTTGTTTCTGTTTGTCCCTCTTTCTCTCATTTTCTCTCCTTCTCTTTCTCTCTCTTTCTCTCTTTCTTTTTTCCGTTTTGTCCTTTCGCGCCATCTAGACGTGTGTGTTTATGTGTTTCGCTAAGGCGTCCTTGTGGGATAATAATACGATGAAATTTACCGTTACTATTACGTAATTATTATTAGTACTATTATCGTTATCCTCATTATCGATAGCGTTATTATTTTTATTTTCATCGGTATTATGTATATCGTAAAGAAACGAAGTTACTCCTCGTATTGCTTTCTTCCTAACGCGCAGGTCTCCGAAACGAAGCGGCGTACGAACTCGAAGACGAGCACTCTCGAGCCCGGTCCGGCGGGCCCCGAGCGACGGGAAGGGCGGGCGCGTCACCGGGACGATGTCGCATGCGGTCCCCGTCGACCTCGGCGCCGACGCCAGCAACAACGCCGACGTCGACGCCGGCGACGGCGTGCGGCGAGCATTCCTCGCCGGCCCCGGAACCACCGGCGGCAGCCTGGCTTTTCTGAATCACGTGACGATAATATGCGGCGCCGACAGCAGGACGGTGATGGTAGCGATGATGGTGAACAGAGTAAAAATGATTAGGCACATCCTGTCGATCACCATCGCCGCGAACTTCCAGTCGTTCGTCACCTTCGTGTTCTCCTCCTCACTCTTCAGCTGGTTCGTTATTATCTGCAACGAGACGGGCGCGCCGTTCGTCGTCAACACATTTTTAAATGACGGAGCGTTGTTATTGTTAATTGCGATGAAGCAGTACTGGTTTGGTTTCTAGATGGGAGCGTTGGATATTTTTAGATCAGGAGCGCTGTGACGTTTCTGGACGTCATGGAACGACAGATTTCTTGGATGGCGAGGTTTGTGAAGTTTCGTATCTTTCGATAATTGCGGTTTGGAATTTAAAAATTCAGGTGCCCGAAACTAAGAAACCGAGGATTCCGGGAATGGAAATGCCGAAACGAGTTTAAGGACTCAGAAATTTAAAATTGTCATCGAATCGTTTTAAATCGTTATTAACTAAGAACGTTAGGATTTTAGGTTCAAAGTTTGAAATTTCCTTACTTTCAGTTTTATGTAAAATTTAGTTTCTTGGAAATGACAGATTTAAGGATCGTCGAGAATTTGTGAAAACTAAATCGAGAATCAAAATATCCAATACGCTTATTGAGTCGCTCTAAATTTTAGTTCTAAAAACCTTGGAATTTCGAAATTTCAGAAGTCTGATACTTTTGTATCTTTAAATCTTGAAACTGAAAGAGAAATGAGTCATGGGATGACAGATTTATTGGATGGCGAGGTTTATGGAGTTTCGTATCTATCGATGTTTGCGGTTTGGAATTTAAAAATTCGGGTGACCAAAACCTAATAGGAACCGAGGGTTTCGGAAATGGAAAAGCCGAAACGAGTTCAAGGACTCAGAAATTTAAAATTTGTCATCGAATCGTTCTAAACTGTTATTAATTAGACCGTTAGAATTTTAGGTTCAAAGTTTGCAATTTTCCTACTTTCAGTTTTGTGTAAAATTTAGTTTTATGCAAGTGACAGATTTAAATAGTTAAAGATCGTCGAAAATTTATGAACACTATAGAAATTGAGAAACAAAATATCTAATACGTTCATCGAGTCGCTTTAAATTTTGGTCCTAGAAACTTTGGAATTTCGAGATTTCAGATGTTTGACACCCTTGTATCTCTAAACTTTGAAACGAAAAGAAAAGAAAAGAAAATGAGCCATAGGACTACGGATTGTTGAATAGCGAGATTTATGGAGTTTTGTATCTTTCGATGTTTGTGGTTTGGAATTTAAAAATTTAGATGACCAAAACTTAATAGGAAACGAAAAGTCCGGAGATGGAAAAGCCGACATGAGTCCAAGGACTCAGAAATTCAAGACTGTCATCGAATCGTTCTAAATCATTATTAATTGGAACGTTAGGATTTTAGGTTCAAAATTCGAGATTTTCCTACTTCTAATTTTGTGTAAAATTTAGTTTCTTAGAAATGACAGATTTAAATATTTAAGGATCGTCAAAAATTTATGAAAATTATAGAAATCGAGAATCAAAATATCCAATACGCTCATCGAGTCGCTTTAAATTTTGGCCCTAGGAAGCTTGGAATTTCGAGATTTCAGAGATTTGATACATTTGTACTTTTAAGCTTTAAAACTAAAAAGAAAAAAAATGTGCCATACGACGGATTTCTTGGATGGCGAGATTTATGGAGTTTCGTATCTTTCGATATTTGTGAATATTTGGAATTTAAAAGTTCAGATGACAGAAACCTGGTAGGAACTGAAGATTTTGGAAATGGAAAAGCCGAGACGAGTTTAAAGATTCAGAAATTTAAAATTGTCATCGAATCGTTCTAAATCGTTATTAACTGGAACGTTAGGATTTCAGATTCAAAGTTTGAGATTTCCCTACTTTTAGTTTTGGGTAAAATTAAATTTCTTGGAAATGACAGATTCAAATACTTAAAGTCGAAAATGTGTGAAAATTATAAAAATCGAGAATCAAAATATCCAATACGCTCATCGAGTCTCCCGATGAAATTTTAGTTCTTAGAACCTTGGAATTTCGAGATTTCAAAAGTTTGACACTTTTGTATCGTTAAACTTTGAAACTAAAATGAAAAAAAATGTGCCATGCGACGGAGTTCTTGGATGGCGAAGTTTGTGGAGTTTCGTATCTTTCGATATTTGTAACTTAAAAATTTAGGTGACCGAAACCTGATAGGAATTGAGGATCCCGGAAACGGAAAAGCCGAAGCGAGTTCAAAGACTTAGAAATTCAAAACTTTTGAATCGTTCTGAAATATTCCAAATCGTTATTAACTGGAATTTGAGGATTTTAAATTCGAGGTTTGAAGTTCCTGTACTTTTAGTTTTCCAATTTAGTTCCTTGGAAGTAACAAATTTAAATACAAGGTATCCCATGGGAAGTTACTGAAACTAATTAGCTGTAATTCATATTTTCATGAATCATTTTCAAATGTATTCAATTATTGTAAAAACAAAAATTACTTTGAAAAAAAGTCCGGTTTTTAATGCGTATAAATAAAATTTTTAAAAATGTAATTGTTCAGTCTATCTTGTTAAAAAAGATGATGAAAAATATGCTAATGATCAAATAAACTAGTGGTAAACATTTTCAAAATGCGCATCATCTGAATCTGTACAAAACTCAATTCTGTACGAAAATTCGTAAAAATTTTTTTTAGCATGTCATCTTTGATCTTTTTAATAGCTGCTACTAAATCTGGCACCGTTTTCAAGTTTCCAACATAATAATTATCTTTAATGCCATTTAGCCGGAAATGTACCTCGTCCGTATAAATTATCAATTTTTCATCAAGATCTCCATCTTCAAATATTCTATTTATTGCCTTGCAAAATTCCAAACTCTTCATCAAAGAGCGTTTGGTTAGCAATTAATGAGATGTTATTTTATATGGTTCATGAAATATTTTAAAAAACCTGTGTACCGTTATTTTCGATATTCGAAGAGCTTGGGCAGCTCTTCGAATGAAAGCATTTAGATTTTGTTTAAAATAATTATTAATTTCTTCAAAATTTTCTTCTACAACTACAGACATAGAAAGACCTGGCAGATTGTGCTTATGATCTCAAATAGTTTCATATTTCCTAAAATTATTGATAATTCTATTAAAAGCAATGAAAACATTATTTTAATGTAGATTTATTGCCAAAAAATGAAATGACGTAACATCAAAGTTTAAATAATTAATAAATTTTAACCTCTTCATTGCATTTTCGCTCGTAATTTTGTGTTCTGCACTTAATACAAAATCCTTTATAAGCACTACTATATACTTTTCCTCTAGAAAAGAAGCACTCGATAAGATAGATTTTCTTCCATCGTCAGATTACTCATTTTAACGCGCACAGACTTACTTTTACCACAACCAGAATAAAATTGCGGATTCTCAGGCAGACGGCCATTAACCTTAATTAAGACTCGTTCTAACGTCATAGAATGGAGAACCAAATCGTGGATCATTTAGTTTCAGCAACTTCCTGTGGGACACTCTATACCTAAGGATCATCGAGAATTTGGTGGTGGAAACCATAGAAATTGAGAATCAAAATATCCACGGTTATTGCGTCGCTTTAAATTTTGGTCCTAGGAACCTTGGAATTTCGAGGTTTCAAAAGCTCGATACATCTTTAAACTTTGAAATAAAAAAAGAATTCAAAAATCCGAGGATATAAAAGTCGAACTGAATTAGAGAAACACAACATATCTGAAGTACTCGTTAAATCGCTCCAAATCGTCGTTTGAACTTTGGGGCACCTCATGGTTCTAAGTTGTCAAAGTTTCAGAGGTTTGGTAGTTTTGTTTCGCTGTATATATTCTTGGGATCAAAGGATCTGAATACTCAAGGACCGGCAAGAATCTTGGATTCGGCGTTGTGTCTGAGGCGTACGCTTCGAGTCGCTCTCACCTTGATTTCCTTCAATATTAGCACGAGTTCGTAGCGGGCGCAGAAGCACGCGTTCTGGAGTATCGTCTCGACCTGCGGCGTCGGTGCGTCCTGCGGGTGCGGATGATGGTGCGGCGTGTGACTGATCTGGTGGCCGGGGTACGACGAGTGAGGCATCGGCGTCGCGTGCTGATGGTGCGGTGTCGTGGCCGCGTGGCTGTGATGATGATGGGGTGTCGTATGCATGTGACTGTGGCCGTGACCCATCGTGTGCGCATGGTGCGGCCCGGGCGTGCTGTATACATTGTTCAGCAGATTGTTGTGTGACGCTAGCGCGTTGTCCTCCAGGTCCAGCACGTTCGCCAGAAGGGACTTGCTGCTCCTCTGGTGGAGCTCCAGGTCACCGTACGACTTGCTCGCGCCTGGCGCACGACGCGACGATTAGCTTATGAGCTTACAGTTACGTGAGATTACGAGTGAAATACGAGAGAGTCGTCTTACCCGTGACCGGAGATGGTTTCTGCGACTTTTGCACCTCCTTCTCTTCTTTCTCGGTGGGCCTTGACATACGGAGTATGCAGGGCAGCCAGTACAGGAAAACGACCTTAATCTGTAAACAATTCGGTGAACAATGTATCTTCATCTGCGTTCACTCGCTGCGATAACTAATTATCGCTGTAGGATGTTCGAATATTATCAGGGAGAGTTTTCGACTTTTGATGTGTTGCAATATGTTCTTTATATTACTCGGTTTCATTATTCGGCAAAAATATCTATGCTGTTATTAATTTCGATGGAAATGTTGACCTATAAAAATCTAGTTATCGTCCGAATGGCCGAATCGAAATAAAACAGATGAGATTGAAGAGGATCATTTACCAGCGAGAATGCTTTTTTTTGTTCGTCTCATTTCTTTTTGTTCGCCTCATCTTTTCGATGCTTTTCGTCGCGTTTTGAGACTCAAAGGAATTCGCGTTGATTAATTAGAGTTAGCTTGCGCGCATTTAGCTCGCAGAAATTTGATGGCCCGCAAATCATCGCGTGTCAATCCCCGAAATTTACATCCTAATTAATGTGACGTCCGGCGGGAAAAAGTCGATTATGCGACGAGATTTAATATCGCGATGCGTATTCGGCGAAGTGGCCCTTAATTATCCGGCCATAAAATTCCTGATTTATCCGCGATGAAAAGAGAGAGAGAGAGAGCGACGCATCGGCCGCGGCGGTAGCGCGTTGCATTTTAATTAAAATTATAATTATCGGTTGATGTATATAGGAGTCGTATAGTGCGAGCGATGAACCGAAAACGGATACTTTAGTAAAGTTACTCTCTTCGCGAATGCGCGAATAGAAAAAAGTATCAGCGAATACACTCGACCAGTCCGGCGACGGATAAACCAATTTAGCGGAATGAGCGCAAGCGATTTTCAATAAAATTCGGCATAATTCACAACTGATTTGTGTTCACGTGGACATTATCGGACATTAACGGATTAACCGGTTTATAAGCCGATTCATTCTACAGCGATGAAATAGTCATTCGTTTCTCTCATTTCATTGTTTTGTGTTTAATTATCGTTAATTTCGGAAACCGAAATTATATGGCCAAAACCAGGCTTACATGTGAGAGCCATATTATGTGAGAGCGATTCAGATTCTTTCTCAACTCGTGTTTCGAGAGAGAAAGAAATATATGCGATCTTTTGAGCAAAGAGGACATCTCGCAAGTTAATCCGTCGGCGATTGGATCCGCGACCTTTCGTTAGCGTCGCGACGTATTAACTATGGGCGATTATTAAGTCGTAACAATCGCGCTGCTGCAACGCGCTTTGATATCGATCAAAGGAAATTACCCATTCAGACATCTCATGGGTGTCAGAGTTCCGATGATGATAGTTCAAGATGAGAATTGTGCTGACCACGCTGCTGGCCACCATAAACATGATGCAATTGAAGTACGTCCCTGAAAAGAAGGCGACAATGTGACTTCAAAGTGTTCATGTTTCAAGCGAAAGTCAAATCGCGTAGTTGGAATATGTCAATATTCATCGTGTCTTATTCGACACGTGTCTCGTTCCTTTTCGGGATTACACCTTAGGCGATGTTAAATTCACGCTTCTCTCCACAATGTATTAGGAGTGTGATTTAGTTTTGAGGGTTTTGCAAGAGATGGCACTAATGTCAATTTTGTCGAAGGCATTCCAATCACAGCTTTAATCCTTTACTAACAATAGTCGCAGTAAAAATCGTGTTAATACCATCTTAAAAATAAAGTTTCTTAAAGAGCATTTTCGAGATGCGTTGTTTTTGTTTTTTAATCAGAAGAAAACGGCTAAAAGTCATAGAATTCTGATACAAACTTATAATGATGTTGCACCATAAATTGAGACAATGAATATTGGTTTAGAGGATTTAAAAATGGTGATTTTAATGTTAACGACAAAGGTCACTTTCTGGACAATCAGAAATAACTTGCAAATGCGGATTTGCGAGCATTATTGGACGAAAATCCAGCATAATTCCAGCACTTCAGAACGTACCAGAGCATTAAATATTGATCGTACAACAGTTACTAAACCTTTGCATGATATGGGAATGATTTACAATGAAGGAAAATGGGTCCCACATCAAATATCGGAAAATGTCATTGCGAACCAGTTAAACATTTGCATTTCGTTCATCGCCGGACAAAAAATGAAGAGCTTTTTGTATCGAAATATTATTGGGGATAAAAAATGGATGTATTTCGATAAACCCAAACGAAAAAAATCATGGGTTGATCCAGGCCAACCAGCAACATTCACTTCGAGGCGTAATCAATATTTACGGTATTGCTGTATTCAAAGATATTGCTGTATTTGGTGGCAAAAATATTTGGTGGGATCAAGGTGTTGCGTACTATAAACTTAAGTCCGAAATCCGAGTGAAACTGTCACCGCTGATCATTATCAATAATAATTATACAAATTGAAGCGAGCAGTGGACCAAAAACGAGATGCCAATTGCGAATAAACGATATAAAGTGATCCTTCTTCACGACAATGCTCGACCTCATGTTGCATTATCAGTGAAGCAAACACTATCAGAGTTGGAATGGCAAGTCTTACCGCACTCCGCGTATTCTCCAGACATTGCTCCATCCGATTATCACTTGTTCCGGTCGATGCAACATGCTCTAGAGGATACACACTTTTATAACTTCGAACAAATGCGAAAATTTGTTGAGAATTGAATCAACTCCAAAGAAGAATCTTTTTATCGTCGCGGAATCCATCTCTTGCCAGAAAGATGGGAAAAAGTTGTAGAAAACGGAGAAAAATATTTTTATTAAGGTATTTGTTCATTATCTTGTTTAAGTAAATCAGTTTTTGAGAAAAAAATCTTTAAAACTAAATCACACTCCTAATATTTACACGTTTTCCTCAAAAATAGACACAGGCTACTTGTTTTCAAATTAATAAGTTTCGACAAACGTCCCCTGGCGCGGCTGTTTCGCGATCAGGGGACATTGTCCTGCAAGAGAGTGTAAACAGCCCTTAGTCCCCTTCCGCGCTCCAGTCCCTCTTTTTCCACTCGAAGGGTTTGCAATATGGCTAACCGATCAGGTCGCTCTTTCATATCGAGAAGTTAATCATATTGAAAGTTAATTCGATCGAGCTCACCTAAAAGCGGCACGGCATCGGACGTCGCTGGCATTGTCTCAGCAACCATATTCAAGAACACAGTGAGGGACAGAAGGATGGTTACCCCTGCAAAAGAGGTTCGTTGGTTTCGATTAATTATCGTTAAAGTCGAGTATGTCAGTGTGGCTAAATAGGATCAGCCCTGTCGGCTCTTGAACGATCGGAGGGCTTCCGATGCGTGACAACTACGTGCTAAAGACCCTTCGATTTTCACACTCTTGTATCAAACGATATATAGTATCCCCAATCTCCCTCGTCGGCTCGGCCACATAATGGCGAGCCGTAAACCGAGCCCGGCCCTTGCCTTCCCATCTAACCTGCCGAATGAAAAGCGGATTCTACGGAAATTTATGCTGCCGAAAAATTACTTTGATTTTCTGCGATCGCTGTCCCGTCGAGAGCAAAAGTTGTGTCGATAGTGCGACTTTCCGTTTCCATTTATCGTTGAACCGCGACGAGTCGAGGGGAGGTGAATATCAATTCTCAAGAATATCTTCTTGAGAAGGGAAATTGTCAGTTTCTTGGTGTCTAATTTTCATTAGCATCTTAGACAAAGAGCTTCAAAGGCAGTTCGTGTCCAGGACACCTCGTGTATCTCAACCCGAGCGTCGCCGCTCGGGGCTTTGAACTTCCCTCGACGCTTATTTGCGAGCCGCAGCATCGTGTTAAGAGGTGCTTTCGAATTATTTAGACTTTCAAAACATCGCGCGCGGCAGGCGGCCACGCCAGGTGCTTCATCTAAATATCAGGCTTTACTCGAGCTTCTTCGAGGTTGCGCGACAACGCGTCGAGAGGTGCTCTCGAGATCCCGTTCGCGATTGAGTCGTAGTATCGCATCGTTTCTTCTTCCGCGTTTTCTCGCCGAGTAAGATGTTTCCAATTCTCCCCGGTTGAATCGAAGGCAACTTTTGCCTTATATTCACATCGTTAAGGCGCTATTGGCGGTCCAATTATGAATAATAAATCCGCTCAATAAAATTAAGACGATGTTTCGTACGACGATCAACCGCTTCTCCTCCGAGAATCGATGATTAATTTCAAGTCGAATAAGAAGAAAGCGAATGCGCCGACGGCAGATTCGTGGGAAAATCTTCAGTAAAAATCACGACTGACCCGATTGAATTTCGTACTTGAGAAGGGAGCGTTTCAAGCTTCGTGTGAATTGTTCTTCCCGCTAAAATCGCCGTTAATGCCAAGGGACTCGCAGCAAAGACACGTACACGCGATAATTGTACCTCAATCTATGAATAGCCAAGAACCTCGCGGAAATTCGCGACGGAGACTTGCTCTCGCCGTTGTTCGGCACTGCAATTCCATTGTCGGCGTATCTCGGCGCCGCTGACGCGATTGTCGCGATCGCTTTCGAATCCGGTGTGGATTCAGCACGCAGCAGCAGCAGCCTGCACGCTCGAAGAAACTCGACGACGACAGCGACGGCAACGGCGACGACGACGACCGGGGCTGAAATTATCGCGCCGAGACACGTCGTTTCAATCGAGATCGGGCGAAATCTAATCGCGCAAACGCCCGATGCGCTCAGCGAACTCCTGGCTCTAATCACGGGAACGTTTACACGGTGCTGCGAGGCGAGGCGAGGCGTGGCGAGGCGAGGCGAGGTGAGGCGGCCGAGGAATCGGAATTATGCAGCCGAGCGATTCGGACCGTCGTCGGAGGCAGAATCTCTCTCTCGCCGGTATCGCGCTCCTTGCCGAATTCCAGAACGACCAAGTTCTCGGGGAAACAATGAAATAACGTGTAACGGATAATTCCGCGCTTCCGCCGTGCGCGATTCTGAAAACGCGCGACGCGACGCGACCGCGCGAGAAAGTCGCGTTGCCGCGCATGCGCACGCGCGCGCGACCGGAACCGCGATGTCGTCTACATTTTATCGGCGGTAAAATTATCCGAGCCACGTCGCCGTTTATCATCAGCCGATCGATCATTCGCTGCTGTTTAGAGCAAAAAAATTTCTGACGGGAAGGGGCGGATAAGAGCTCGTGATCGACATCTCGTCTAATTGAGATTATACGAAAGGAAATGGTGTCCTCTCTTTCTCCCCCTCCCCTCTCTTTCTCATTCTCTCTCTCTCTCCCTCTACATATATCAGAGTTTGTCCTAAGAGGTTTGACGAGGATCGAGTGCGACACGCGGAATGTGGAGCCGCGCGCGCAATGAAATTCGCGTTACACGAGCGGCTCACAAATCGCATTAGACACGCAATCTACACCGTCGGCACTTCACGTTCTTCACGGGTTCGACGCGACGACGTGGAAGTCGCGCTCTCGGAGTCCGTGAGATCGACGAACTGCAAGCTCTCGCAGTTGAACGTGACGGAATTTTATCGGCGTTAATTTCCGCGTCGGGACTCGACTCGGCACCCGCGGAGATCCCGACCCTGATCTACGAATCGAGGGGAAGGCCGGGGGGAACTCGCGACAAGAGCTCGGGGGAGATTAGTTTCTTCAGCGTCAGTGCCCGGATGCGGGAGAGAGTCCGCCGACCGGAAGTAGGTCGGACCTAATCGCGCAAACGTCTGATGCTCTTAGCAAACAGGGGCGTGCCTAATCGCGAGAACGTTCACGGATCGTTGAGGGCAATCGGAGTTTTGCATCGAGTTGAAACTTGCCGAGGGAGAGTTTCTCGCCGGAATCGGGCGGCAGGGTGAACCCGAGGACGGCCATGCTGGCAATCAGAACGCACGGCACGATCAGGTTGAAGAAGTAGTAGAGTGTGCGTCTTCTGATGATGACGACGAAGGTGATGTCTATGTACGGTTCTGGGCAGCAATTGTAGTAGATTTCATTTCTCTTGCCGGGCACCCCTGTGCGACAGACGAAATAAAGGTTAGTCCTGTAAGAAATTTTGCGAGACGCCAAATTCGAATTTCGCGCGACTGCACGATGCGAGTGCAACGTGTGTTTAGAGACCGGATTGCTAGGTGGCACTCGAAGAAAAAAAAAGAAAAAATAAACGAGATTGTGAATGGTAACCTTGTTGTTGTTGTTGTTGTTGTTAGTTGATTGTAAGTAATATACATTATAATAATTGTAGATAATATGTATTATTATTCTTTTTTTCCACGACACTTTTAAGTGAAAGCACAGTTATGATTATTCGCCCTACAGTTTCTAGTAAATTCTATTGAAAATGTGTTAATGGTCCTTTTTTTACGGAGCTTTATAAATCTAAAAGGGTGCTTATTCACGATCTTAAAATTTACCTACGGTGTCTTCAACATAACCTCATTTTTATTACAGGTAAAAATGAAACTCGGTAAAGTGCATGTATGCTCTTTTGTTTGAACCAAAAAAGACTGCCGCGGAAACAAAACGCTTAATCGCTAGACATCGTTCCATCTAATCTTCATTTATTCAGATCGTCGCAACACGGCTTGTCCGCTACATGATTTACTAATGCCGAGGAAGTTCGAAAATGGGTCGATAATTTTTTCATTTCAAAAGCTATATCGCTTTTTAGAAATGGGATTAGACAATTACTTGAGAGGTGGTAGTGACGATAGATATTTTGATTAAAATGAATATAGTGTTTTATTGTTAAATAGATATACATAAGGTGTCCGGGATTTCCTGAAAACAAAAACTTGTGAAGATTAAAGTAGATCAAACTAAGAAGTACCAAAAAGTCAAGTACCATTTTGGAAAAGTCGCAATAGTTATTAAGTTATTAATGATTGAAAATGACCACATTTAGAAGCTCTTCTAATTGATAAGTTGAAAATTTGCGTACTTATTTGCAAAATGGTAAGACCTTTTTATTCAGAATGAACCTACAATTATATGACAACTAATGCGTTTAGCGATAGATATGAGTATATTGAACTTTGAACTTGAATTTTGAACCTGTCGCTAGTTGCAATAGCCGTTATATAATTGTAGATTAGGTTATTCCGAATGTTTCTTATTACCACCATTTTCATTTATCATTCTAAAATAATTTAATGTATTTTTTATTTATTTATTTTTATTTAAAAATTAAGTGTTATTTTCTTTTTATTAATACTAAGATCTTTTATTATAAAAGTCCTTTACCATTTTGCAAATAAGTACGCAAATTTTCTCAATTTGATCTGATTAATGTTCACAATTTTTCGTTTCCAAAAGATCCCAGACACCCGATTTGAAGATCCGACGGAAACTTTTGCATATTTGCGCTTAATACAAATATTTTCCGACGAATATCTTTCTTAATATCATCGCAGACCAGAGAAGATGCAAAAGCTAGAAAACATATCGACGCAGCAAACGTTTCGACTCAGGTCAGCACCGTTCTCGCGATTCACCGGCTCTTTCTCCTCTTTCCTTTTTCACGGCAAACATAACGATTCACGAAACAGTCGAAAGATCACGCGAGTGCATATGTAATTTAAATCCAAGTAAACCATGCGCTTTCTGAAGTCTAATTGATTCGATGCGTCGATATCCGATTGAAAGTACCGGCGGGAGCTTTTTCTCGCTGCTATAGCCGCGGTCTCCGGCACAATGGGGCGCGCACTTAAAATTTTCACTCGAATCGAACTTCTCGTATTCGATTTGACGCTTAAACACGATGGCCGTGCGAGCACGTACCGCACGTACACGGCCGCACAGCCGCACACGGACAATTGATACATCGTCAATAAAGTGAAGTGCGCGCTCGAGCGTAACAAAAGAGTTGTCGGGAGCGAAAAATTTCTCCACTCTCCCCGCTGAATTATCCCGTGCAACAGGACCGCGGAGAAAAACGCGGGCGATTCCATCTTACGCTATTCCCCCGGGTACAAAACGCGCTACTCCGCGCAGCTGCAGTTACTTAAGATACATTTCTACCGCGAGCCTCATAACCCCGACACATATATTACACGTGCACACGCCAGCGCTATTCCCGCGCGTAATGCATCGTACAATTTTTCGTAGGATGATACACGGGGATACGAGAAGCGTTTTTGCGTTGCCGCAGCGCGGGAGCGATAAAGAGGCGCGGCCGCGTGCGTTTCTTGCGCTTAACCCGTGCGAACGAACGAATTAAGGTCGATTCACACTATACGGCACGGACCGTCGCGTACCGGCAACGACACGTACCGGCACCGACACGACAAATTAATGCATATGTTCAGACTGTAACTTCCGGTAACTGTCCGTCAATTGACGTTGCAGTCACAATGGATGGATCATCCAGCGACGATAAATTGACCCTTACAATCTTACTTTTAGACGAAGAGGAAGCCGAACTGAAAAAAAATAAAAAAAAGAAATCGAAAATGGGTACATCCAATGTTAAAAAAGAGAAACCTTGAAGGAGAACATTGTTCAAAGACTTACTAAAATATGACAAGTTTAATCAGTATTTTAGAATGCCGTAATGTAAATGTTATGATTTGTTAAAATTAATTGAACCTGTACTACAGAAACAAAATACATCGTCCCGTGAGGCAATTTCACCGACAGAATATTAACATTTTCACTTAATTTTTCTTGCTCCATCCTCTGCTGCGTTCGTTTTCTACCGATTTCTTACTGATTCAAACTAACGTACCAGCACCGTCAAAATATTGTTTGCGAGAATGTCGGTCGATGCCGGTACGTCCCGTTGACGAAACATGCAGATCGGTGTCGGTTAGTGTGAATAGTTTCATTAAAACGCGTGTTTTAAAGTCTTGTCGTGTCGGTGCCGGTACGTGTCATTGCCGGTACGCGACGGTCCGTGCCGTATAATATGAATTGACCTTTATGCGCAAACGCGATCGACGATGGGTCGATCGGACGATACGAGTGGACGATACGAGCGTATTTCCTCCTCGCAGCATGAGGACGCAAGCCGAATCGTGGCCGTTCTTTTGCATCGTCGCAGTTGCAACGTGGAAGCTCGCGGGTTCTTCTTATTAAAACGTTGCATCACGCGCGAGCGAACGCTAAGTTGTTGCAGCAGTCGCGGTTTTCTTGTCGACTCCACCACGCGCGTAATTAGCGATTTGTCGTATCGAGACGAGCGGCTGAAGGTACATCCTTGTAAATTTGCATTCAGCAAAAGGTATCGCGCGTTTCGGATTTTACGAAAGCGGATTCCGAATACAAAATTGATCTTTCAATATAAAATGTAGGTCGTACGATCGTCCGCGTGTGGGCGGGTTCCGATACGCGGAAACTAATTTTATGGATCCCGCGAATGTCGAAATAAAACTTAATGTGTGGAGAAAGTAGTTCCCGTTACGTAACTCGCGCCGCGTCGGAGGGATTTGGGAATTCCGCTGATGCTCCGCTCACGCTCGTCTCGTGAACGCGAATTCGGCGAACTGGATCCGCCGAAACGAATTTCGCCCACCGAAACGTGCGAAGATTCTCGCGGACGCAGATAAAGAACTTCGTGTACAGGGCGTTTAAAAAAAGGATTTAGAACTTTGAGGACAGATAGTATTCACACATGGAACGGAAAAATGTCCTAATAAACTTGAGTCGAAAAATTAATATTGCCAGGATTATGAACAATTATTTATTAAATATCCAAGAAAGTTTACGCCGTTTCTAGATTTTGTTACTGCACATGCGCGCACTATCAATTAAAAGTGTGGCTACGTACGCTTAAACGAAATCTTATTTAACAGAGAATTTACCGGTGTATAATACTTAAATACGGAAATACGGAAATTAATTACTTAAAGTTTTGTAAAGGTGACCTCAGTATGGATACGTCAAAGTCAATTATTCGAACTTGTTTATTTTATGAATCTAAATTGGATACCGGGCCGCTTCAGATGCCGAAAAATATCCTCCGCATTCAGAGATGATGCAGTGAGCGAACTTGTAGTTCGAAAGTGGTTTCAGAAATTTGCCAAACCAAGAAAATCGACAAGACGTCGAAAGAGAGTTGAAGCACTTTTTTTGACAGCAGAGAGGAAAACTTTTATAAAAAGGAATAGAAAAGTTGCTAGATCTAATTTTCTGAATAAAATATTGTTTGATTTACCTTGTGTATCATTTATTTCTATTGATCAAAATGGCACGGACGTTCTCGGTCACCCAACTTTAATTAAAGCAAATGACTTACTTGCTTCTGATGCTTTTATATTCTCTGATGTAATTTGTCTGTATCGTTTATAAATTCCTAAAAAAAGTTTCTTGGCTCTTACTTGGAATGTAAATAAATATCTATTTTCTTCCAGTTATTCCCATATACACACGCTTTACCAAATAATTGTTAGTCACATATCTTCATGAACAGTAAACAGTTGCAGAGAGCTATCACAAAATGTCCACAGTACGGTAAGAATGACATCATATTACTCTAATTAAGAATTGGTAGAATGGCACTTCATGTATGGCCGCGCACCAGAAGCGAGCAAGTCACTTGCTTTAATTAAAATAAATAATTGTTCACAACTCCGACAATATTAATTGCTCGACCCGTGTTTACTACAACTTTTTCCTCCATTTTGTAGGTATCACCTGCTCTTAAAGTGAAGTTCTGAACCCTCTTTTTCAAACACCCTGTATACGCATTTTGTGCGCGCGGCGAGTAGAAAACAAATTTCCATGGTTGCCGAAAAATCGTTGCCGGAAAAGGAGAGGAGAAAAACAAAAGCACGCGAACTCGGCCGTGCGCGTGGTGTGAACATTTGCAAGTGAAAGAACCGTATAGCCGCGGAGAATCCGCGATCGTTCAATAAATTCCCGGGCGATTATTCAGCGACTGCGTCGGACTTCATTCGCCCTTTGAATCGTGTGCGAGAGATGCGCCCGCCTGCAATTTCGTTTGCGACACTTTACCGATCGCCCCGACGTGTTCGTGCCGGCGAAAACAGTAAACTTCGAGGGGGGGGGGGTAGGTCCCGCCGTGCGCCCCGTTTGACCCAGATGCAGGCAATTTTGACGGGGACAAAGCGGAGATCGATACCGTTTCCGATTTGCGAAACGATTGATCATCCAGCCGTGGCCGTGTAAGACTTTAGAATTGCTAATCGGCCGGGGAATCACTTCGCGGCGCGGCGGGGCGAACTACTCGGGCGTGGCGAGACGGGAAAACGGTTACCGATAAGGACTGTAAAAACTCACCCAACAGATCCCACTCGCCGTTGGTGATGAAACTGCTGATGTCACCCCCGGACTCGTCCTGTAGCTGCAGATCCAACTGTCGACAATTTATGACGGTCGATTAGAGGAAACTTATCACGATTGTACCGCGTGTAAGACAGTTGTTTCGACCGGTGAGGGGGACAGAAGAGCGGCGAGGGGCAAGGGGGGAGAGAGAGCAACGGAAAAATCTGTTTCGCGAAGTCGCGCGGAAATATGGGATTTTTCGTCGCCTTTTGCCCTTTATGGAAGAAACATTACGGAGCGTAGAGGCGCGAGAATCGAACGCGCGTGATTCTTCGAAGATTAATTTTGATACAGAACGCTGTACGAACGCTGGAAATATTGCGGAAATATATACGATCGATGTGCCGCTTGTTGAAATGGAACTCTTCATTTGAGAATCTTAATCGAACAATTAATCAAGGTCTTGATTGGGTGTTACATTGTAACCGTTTGAAGAATTAACAGAACGACCGGTACAGGACGACACTTTCGACTGATACGATGAATAAATGAGACGCCATCAAGTTGTCATGTCATCTCGAACTTTGCAATTATCGAGTATCGTGACGTACTTTCCGAGGAAGCGGAGAGAAAGCGAGGAGGGGAGATATTAGTAGGGGAGAACGATGGCAGAACGATGAATTATTGCGGCAATTTCGAAATAACATCGCCTTTTGCCAAATTCTCTGTCGGCTTAGCTACTTCATACACGCCTGTTGGTACCACTCGCGTGAATTCAAGCATATTTGCATAGACCAATAAAGCCCCCCCTCCCGCTAACCTGCCCCTGCTATTCCTTCTGCAATTCCTGCGCGTTTGAATATCGATGGAAAATTTCTTTTCTTTTTTTCTCCTACTTTCTCTCTCTCTCTCTCTCTCTCTCTCTCTCTCTCTCTCTTTCTCTCTTTCTCTCTTTCTCTCCCTTTTTTCCGAATCGACGTTCAGGCACAATCTATGGCGAATTAATTTCTGGGCGCGAATTGTTAAGTGAAAACGGACGATCAAAACCGAAAAATCTGTTTTGCATCTCGTTCGTATTCAGCGGATCGAACCGTGCGCCCGGGAAAGCCGTGGTGCATTTCGTTGGCTCTCTCTCTCTCTCTCTCGTCTCTCGCGCTTCCACTTCGTTCTGCTTATTGTCCTCCTTAATGAACCCCCGAGCGTTCTCGGATTGCCCAGCACCGTGTAATTCGCATCCTCAATTTTAATTATTCGGAAGCTATATACTCCGACAATTGAGAGCTCGCCAGGTATACCGGCGGTTGTGCGGCGAAATCGCACGTTGGTGCGATAAATCGGTAACGCGCGAACTAGCGTGCGATTACCGCGCGTTCTCGCTGTGGTGATACCGTAATTAGCGTTACCGTAATTCAGCTGAGCTACATACCGCTGAGTAGTCTAAAGTTCACGCACTTGCTTCGAGAATTCATCTGCTGAAAATTCTGAGAATTCGGACCACATTTTCCTGCGAGGAATGTCGCGAGTGATGCGTTGCGGGTTTCCGATTTTACACCTTTACTCTTTCACATAAGATAATTTTTCATAATTTCCGCGATATGTTTTAACAATATTGTTTGATATTGGTCTCTCTCACGGTGTAAAATCTATTCCGTCCATTTGTTTTCTCCGGTCCAATTTGCAGAGATTTACTATGTTTCCCGATGTCGCTGGAATTTCTTTAGTATGTAAATTGCAATAGCTCCGCTTTCGCGATGCTCGTTTCAGACGCTGATTTGAGACGCGAGAATGCTAGAAATAATTTCCCTTCAGTGTACTATCGGATCTAGTAGTTAATTCTTTCCGATGAAATTTACACAGCTTGGAGCAAAATTTGAAATTTAGATATTCTTCCGCTCTTTCCGCTCTTTTAAAGTGTTGACATTTAACTTTTCGAAATGACATATGATTTGGCGTTTGATGCACATAACCTCAAATAATCAATAATGTTCACGATGGCTATCAACAAAAAAAAAAAATATATATATATATAACTAACAAAAAACTATCAACAAAAACGTTTCTAAAACAGCCAAAATGATTTGTGCTGTTTATGGTGAAAATGCTGTGACTAATCGCACGTGCCGAAACTGCTTTGAACGTTTTGAAACTGGTGATTTTAATCTTTACGACCAACTACGCCATGATCAGCCAAAAAAATTTGAAGACGAGGAGTTGCAAAATTTATTAAATGAAAATACGGCATAAATACGACAAGAACTTGCGGGAAAGATGCGAGTAAGCCAAAAAGCTATTTGCAATCGTATGGGAAAAATACAAAAAGAAAGGAAATAAGAAAGGAAATTTCCATACGAGCTAATTATTGACAATAAAAATCACCGACTGACCACATGCGTTACCTTGCTCGCCAGACAATAAAAAAAATATTTTTTGCGCAAAATCGTAACTAGTGGCGAAAAATAGATTATATATGAAAATCCTAAACGTAAAAAATCATGGATGGACTTTGGTTAACCGACAACGTCAACAGCAAAACCCAAACGTTCCAGAAAAAAAGTTTTTTCTGCATATAGTGGGACTATAGGAAGATGTGCTATACAATGAGTTCTTGGAACCGGGTAAAACCATGAAAGTGGAGATTTGCCAAAAGCAACTGGTATGTTTGAACGATGCAATTAAGCAAAAAAGGACATTTACTGGACGAGGCAGTCGTAAAGTCATTCTGCTGCACAACGATGCTAAACCGTATACAACAAAAGCCACGAAGGAAACCATCTTACACTTGAACTAGCAAGTTTCCCCACACGCAACGTATTCTCCAGACTTGGTTCCATCAGATTTCCACTTATTTCGGTCGATGCAACACGCACTGTCTGACATACATTTTTCGACAGCTGACGACATACGAAAGAACCTCCGCAAAAAGGGTCGATTTCTTGCTCATTTTTCGATCCTCGATTTTGGACTCGAATTTTATGCTAAAAGATAGTTCATGATGAGACATTAATTACAGAAAAGTTTTACGTTGAGCATACGATTGGTTTCAAAGATGTAGAGGGTCAAAGTAATCACTATCTGCTAAGGAAGTATGACACTAATAACGCTTTATCGCACGAATTTTTGCAAAATACGGTATCTATGGGTTCTTTGAGTTGCTGATTATGAATCTGATGTCAGATTTTTAAAATTCAAGGTGGCAGGTGCAACATGGCGGACATACATAGTGAAACAATCATTTACTTTTATTGGAATTGTTATGTTGTGGTTTTTTGGCTAGCTGATTGCGAATTTTCTATTTAGTTTTCGAAAGTAATTTTTTCAACGACAGTTTTTGAGTGGAAAAAGTATTTTTTTATTGTTTTTTCATAAAAAAAATATCAAATTTAAATTAATATGTTACATGAAGCATAAAGGATAACGTGATAGTTATTTGTTATATTTAGAAGCTTATCTTGCCTTCATTGGCTGGATAACTTTTTCATCTTGCCTTCACTGGCTGGATAACATTTTTATCTTGCCTTCATTGGCTGAGTAACTTTTCTATCTTGTCTTCAGTAGCTGGATAACATTTTTATCTTGCCTTCATTGGCTGGATAATTTTCTCATCTTGCCTACACTAAAGGTAAATATAAATTAGAAAATTCGCAATCAACTAGCCGGAAAAACCACAACATAACAGTTCTAATAAAAGTAAATAGTTATTTCACTATTTGTGTCCGCTATATTACATCCACCATCTTGAATTTTTTAAATTTGACATCGAATTCGTAATAAGCAACTCAAAGAATCCATAGATACCGAATTTCGCAAAAATTCGTGCTATAAAACGTTATTAGTGTCAAGCTTCTTTAGTAAATAGTGGACTACTTTGATTCTCTATATCTCTGAAACTAATGGTACGCTCAATGTAAAACTTTTTTGTGATTAATGTCTTATCATGAGCTATCATTTCGCATAAAATTTAATTTAAAAATCGGGGACTGAAAAACGGGCACTTTTTGCGGAGGTTTTTTCATTGATGACTTTATAACCTCAAAGCTACCAAGTTTCTATCGTAATGGAATTCGGCAACTACTACTCGATAAATGGTGTAAGGCCATCGATAACAACGGAGAATATTTCACAGATTAATCTTGTTCCATTGATTTTGAAATAAAAATTGAAAATTGCCGAAAATTGGAAAGAATTAATCATTAGACACAATACTTACGTTGCGAGTACAAAGAGGACGGCGAAATCGCGTGTCGCTGAGAATTCTGGGTATAGCGCATTCTCCCGCTCATTGTCCTCTAAACGCATCTCTTCCACATGATTCGTAAATTTCCTGCAATTCACCCTCAAATGCCGTTTGTGCCGAGCGCGTTGGTGCTTCGACAAAACGCCGAGTGTACTTTCCGCCCGTTGTGGTATCCGTAGACCGCGCTTCGGAATCGAATGTAGTCACGCGTCTCGAGCATTTCGCGGAAAATACCTTAACCTCGCCGGTGTACGTACGTATGCTGATACCACCGCAATACTTCTTACATCCGCAAGACATGACGCTAAAGAGAAAGCGGAAGAGGAAAATAGATCGGATCTCGCGAGCTTTCTAAAGCTTCGCCGAGGCGACTAGCTAAAGACGGGATTTGAAACGGAAATGTAGACGCAATAAATACACGTAACACAAAGGGATTTTAATAATCCCAAGTTAAGCTCTAATGGAATCTCGACCGCGGGGGCTTTAGTATCCTGCGTTAAAGCGCGAGAAGACGCGAAACTGACGTTTAGATAAATCTCCAGAAGGAAAATATCGTTCGTTACGAGACATTCGACATATTTACATAGGGAGCCCTTTGCGCGGATTGAGTAATCACCGTTTCGACCGGACCGTGCATAATCTCGAGAACGCTCGCTGGCAACTTCCGTCATCAGGGAGGGAGGAAAATGCAGCGTCGTTACGCGATCGAAGGACCTCGCTCCGACGTCGGGAATTTCGCGAAACGTTCTCTGCGCGAGCGACTCTCGCATTGGCAAATAGCGGAGATTCTCCCTTCGCTCCTTCTCTCCTATCAACCCTTTCTATCCTCTTTCTCTCTCTCTCTCTCTCTCCCCTCCCTCTCCCTTTGCCATTTTCTCTCGTCTCGGGCGCTAATCAAACTCCTCCACGACACCGCTTTGAATTATTTCCGCGTCTCGAGACGTCGACAAGTGCCAACGTGCTCCTGACAGATTGGAAAATTCGTAAGTTCGTCGTCTGCGTCGGGACGAACGAGCGAATATCTCGCGAACGGGCGGAGAAAGACGATTGGCTGACCCAATTCTGTAATGCCCGGCCCTGCTCACCTGAAAGCCGTCGTACGTCCAGGAGCCGAATTTCATTTCGCAGCGCTGGTCGTCAAAGGGGAACCAGGTAATGTCTATCTTGCAAGTGCTCTTGAATATACCGGGCGGCACGTACAAGCAGGTCCCATTGTTCTTTACGACGACGTTCGTCGGGTAAGTGCCGTCGAAACCCTCGTCGGCGCTGTAACGAACAATCATTCGCGTTAACCTTTCCGGGGGCGGGGGGAGGGGGCGGGAATAGCAAGGGGGGATCCGGTACAATCGGCGGACACTCGACGTGGCTGAAAGTCGAAGACTGAACGACTCAGTGTCTTTGAATTGCGATTGTGGCCGCGACACGAAGTTGGCGAGTTACTCGCGTCCGATTGCCGCTCGTTAACTGCACGCGCGCGAGCAATTAATCAAGAATTTAACGGCGAGTGTCTGTATGTGTAATTTGCGTGAATAATTTGGATCAGCCCGCGGTATCGTTTAGATTAGCCATGAGTTGGGGAAAATAAATAAAGGAGCGGCCGGGGAGAGTACTCACGTAAATTGTGTTTATCCCGAGAAAATTGCTCCTTCATTCTGCGTCCGTTATCGCGTCTTACTTGATATTTCATAGGAGGAGAGCCACTCGTTATGCAACGCGGTTACGCTTACTGGCGCCGGCGGTGACCGGTTAGCCATTTAATTTTTTCACGCAGGACAATTCGCGCGGGATGAAACGTTGCCAGGACACGTGCGGCGCCCCTCCATCCTTCTTCACTCAAGAGACGAAACATTATTACGGAACACGCGCGGACGCAAAAGCTACTATCAGAACATCGGTGTGTCCCCCAAGTAAACCCGTCGGCTTATCCCTCCTCGGTAATAATTTAGAGACAATTCGGATGCCCCTAATGTTACCCTACCTCGCAAGGACGAGATACAACTGCCTACTCTTTTATGACTTATGTACGACGCGATTAATCCACTTTTGCTCGTTAATATCTATTCATAATATTACGCGCGATTACAGGAACTTCGTGATAAATTTCTCTCGCTCCGATATAATATCGTTACATTTCAATATCTGCCGTGAGCTTGAGATTATTCAACCGGACGATGAGAGAGAAAATCTATGCGTGTGTGTGTGTGTGTGTGTGTGTGTGTGTGTATGTTTGTGTGCGTGCGTGAGGTATTATAAAGCAATTTCAACAATGATAATATTCCAATTGTAAATGAACAAGCACGGAAATTGCGACACGTTCCGGCCCGGACTTTCTCCGCGGAGTCAAATTTGTGACGTCGAAACTTCGTTACATTAAATTACTCGTATAGGCGTTATTGGCAGATCGATCAAGGTTCATTATTCTCGAAATTTCGTGACGTCGGTGATCGATCACCGTGACGGGCTCTCGCTGCACATGTACGGACGATGGTGCGTCGGTGTAATAAATGGCCGCCGTAAGAAATGAGGCATGAACATTGCGAAGAACTGCGCGACATGGCGCAGCGAGCGGCCGAGTGCGCGGCTGTGTCCCCGAGGTCTCGCGCGATTGAGCAAATTACCGTTCGACTTTCTGATCGAAATGTCATTTTTCGCACAGGCGCGTCATGCGCGCTCCTCGGGTACGCGCGGACACCCGGTGCATCAGTGGGGCCGGAAGTTTCACGCGAACTTGAGGCTATCGCGCGAGATGATCGATGGCGGGTTCAATTGCGGAACCGCCCGCTCAGCGTGCGATTCGCACAAGCTGGAAATGCGGAACAGGCTTTCATGTCCCAGCCGAGCCGAAGTGTACAGTGGCTGAAGCGTCGCGCGCGACTTTTCAGGGATTCCGTACGTGCAGACGCGGACGGAATCGGCGCGTCTGCCGCTGTAAAAACCCGATAAGATTAGCTGACCGGTTTAACCCTTTAACGCCTACTGGTAACTCGTATAGTTACCAGAAACACATTTAAAAATCCATAACCTAGTCAAAAAGGAGATATTTTCATTTTCTTTGCACCACTGTAAAGGTGAATTCTTCTTCTAAAAAATGTAGATTCGGTTTAGTCTGTTTTTAGCTCAGTTTTAATGATAACATGTTTTGTCAAATTCCAAATAGGCATAGTTAGCATTGTTACTGACACCTAGAAGTGCACTATAAATGAATAGATTGGTATCTGTTATAATTTTATACACTTGGAAACCTTCTCAGATGCAAAATGTGAAATTAAAAGAATACAGAAATTCAAAATGGCGAATCCAATATTGTGGAAACGAAAATCAAGAAATCAACCTATTTTCGTGAAACCTGGTGACTTACGTCTTTTATGCGTCTTTTATGCGGCGAGAAATGAAGGGACGATTGACTATCTAAATGGTGATCTATAAGATATTCTTCTGAAATAGTAAGCTTGACGCTCTGAATGATAAACTTCACTCACAAATATAGTAAAGTTTCAACTCAAAAATATCAAGCTGACTATCAGAGTCGTATAGATTACCCTTCATTTTTCTCTGTATATATATGTTGCTCATTGCGTATATGCATTTAGGATCCAAGTCATATTTACCAATAAACAAAAAAAACGAACGATAAAAAAACCAAACTAACGAAACCAACAAACGAAAAGCGGAAACTTCGTGTACTCATCTATTCAGAACTAAACGATTGATGCTGATTTTCCGTGTAATTACTTCACGGTTTTTCCATCTGGATAACCATCTCTTAGTATGTCCATGTTTATCATTTTTACCGTTATATTTATAAAAGAAAATACAAATTTATTCGTTTAGAAGTAGACTATTACTTTACATTTTACTTTACATTACTTTACATTGGAAAGGTAGTTCTTCGTAGATATAAAATTCTGATATTTTTTTTGGTTATCACTACTTATAGTCTCAGTTCAAAAAACTCAAATTTTATTCTTAAAACACTTGTAAAAAAGTCGGGCGTTAAAGGGTTAATTAAACCGATTGATCGCTCGCGATTGTCTCAGTACGAGGGAAAACGATGTTTCTTCGTCACAGTCGCCTCTCCTCCCCCCTTTCTCTCTCTTCTTCACTGTGATGGACTCGCTTCGAGATCTCGCGAGGAACCAATTGCGTGGTTCGTGCTCGGCTTTATCGCGGATGAAATTTCCAGACCGAGCGCTGCTCGTTAAAGTAGACTCGAATAGATGAGTTAATTATGAACAAGATCTGTATCTCCGGCCTTTGACATCCTACTGCCGCCTGTCCTACACCCCATTCGATTCCGTTCCATTTACGTTACGTTACGCGTGTGCGCGCGCAGGACAAATACCACAACTTCTCACTCGGACGCGATACTTATTTTTACTGTTTATTTCCCTCGTGGCGCACCGTGTTTTTCTTTTTTTATAATGCATTCACGTTGTAAAAAGAGTATTCATCCGCTCGCTCGGACACCCGATTGCCTCGCCGTCGCCGCAGATATGTTTACTTAAACGAGCTACGTAATATGTATGTTTCGCAAAAAAACCACGCGTAGATGGTACAGTTATCGATCCTTTGAGCAGCATTCTTCCTTCCGCAGTGAGTTCTCTCTCTTCCTCTATAAAAATAATATGTACAGAGTGTCTCATCTTGAATGAACCAGGCAAAAATTTCGAAAAATATGAAAGATATCAAGAAACGTTTCAGATAAAAGTTGTATGGTTTCAAAGGGGACATAAAATAACTATATCATTTTATTTACAGATATCGCCACTTACAAGATATTCACTGATCATTACTTTTTTAAATGGAAACCCCAATTTTTTATTATATCACTTTTTTTTACTTTAATTTAAACAACTTTTGTCTAAAACATTTTTTTATTTGCCAAATATTTTTTGAGATATTTCAGGAAAATTTGGTAACTTTTTCAACATTTAACTCACGATATCTCGCTAACTATTTGTCAAAAGAAAAAATAATACTAAACTTTTTTACTCTATTTGGTCTCAAGAATATATTGTTACAATAGTACCCTGACTTTTATTAATTTGATGATTTTGAAATTTCCAAAGGTCGATAAGTTAACAAAAGTTGGGACATTATTGTAACAATGTATTCTTGAGACTAAATAAAGTAAAAAAGTCTAGTACCATTTTTTCTTTCGACAAATAGTTAGCGAGTAAGTTAAATGAAAATGTTACCAAGTTTTCCTTAAATATCTCAAAAGATATTAGCCAAATAAAAAAATGTTTCAAACAAGAGATGTTAAAATTAATGGGTAGAAAACGACGATATAATAAAAAACTGAGATTTCTATTTAAGAAAAGTATAATTATCAGTGAATATCTCGAAAATATATATCACCATCTGTAAACAAAATTATATAGTTGTTTTATGTCCCCTTTGGAAACATTTTTATCTGAAACTTTTTTCTAGAATGTTTAGTTTTCGAGATATTTCCCCGTCTCGGTATTTTTTATACACTCTGTATATATACGCGAACACATAATTCTAAATCCCTGTCCGCCGTCGATGTTGTCGCGGAAAATCTGATACATTAGAGCGAAGCATCGCGCGCTGAAGGAGCGCTCTGGAAGAAACTCTCAGAAGCGTCGAGCTTCAGCAGCGTAACGCGAGTATAATTGGCGGAAGAAAGCACGATCGAATCAAATCGCGATAATGTAGCTTTAACGACCTCTTTCGTTCCCTTGTTTTACCTCCGGTCGAATGGGAGGTTAAGATTTTCGTGTGATAATTAATTCTGCGATCAACCATGTAGCTTAGCACACGTCGAAGTGGGAAATTACTTCGACGACAAGCCGCGCCGTATTTGTAATATATATTGCGGCGCTTTTCTCTCCCCCCCTTCCCCTCCCATCCGCCCGGCGATAAGTTTAACGCCTCCGACGTTTTTCCTCGGAACTCCTCGAGAACTCGTCAATCGTCGAGGGATTTGTACGAATCGATCTAACGCGTGTATTCCCGCCATTGACATCGCGATTATCTATTTATCGAGGATATCTCCTTCCGGCGGCGGCACCGGCGACGGTGCGGAAAGGCGATCGCTGCAGCAAGTCGCGGGACAAGATATACTGATTCTCGGGGTGGGAAAGCTTAATTAAATTCCTTTTCATTGCCTCTTCACCCGCGTCTTGATTACTCCATTCCTCTCTAACTTAGAGTTATCCGGGAGTTTTAAATTTCTTAACGACTCCTTGTGATGGCTGGCTTCCCGCTCGCTTAATAATGCAAATAGGGCTTTACAGCGG